TTTTTTTTTTTTTTTTTTTTTTTTTTTTTGAATGATCGCCGAAATAAATACTGGCAAAGGTTTACTTCTAAAAAAAACATTGGAAGGAAAACAAATAAATCGAATGGCTTTGCATAGCATCTGCACAGGTTTTCTTTTAACACTAATGTAAATAATATGAATTATTATGCAAAGCATGGAGACATCTGTATTATAAAAAAAAAGGTTATAAGCTTACCTGCAAGCTTCGCTTCCAAAGAAAACGCACAGGGATTTTCTTTTTTTGAGTCATTTTTGCTGCTAAAGCATGTCATATTGCATGGTCCTTCTTCGTCAATGGCATTAGCTGAAACCTTGCCTTTCGTGGCAGTTTTCTGGGTTTGCGACAAAACAATTAGCACCACTCCAGTTACGAGACAACAAACTCCCAACACGAACACGACAGCAGCCAAAAGGCAAATTCTCGAATGTTGTCGCTTTACATGATCCGATGAAGAATCCCTGCTTGAGTAATCTGGCAGGATTTGATCAGGCGAGATGGAGTTCAACTCGTGGTCGCCCATAACGCGATTTAGAAGTGTCGGAAAATATTTACAAACGACGTATCGCCACCAACGAAATATTTGATATTGGATTATGACGACGGAGTGATGAGAGAAGCTGTAACATACGGTGTTGTGATCTGCTTGACAACTCATTGACACTTTAAAGATTTAAAAATTCAACACAGTAAATTGTTATTGATTGACTTTAAAAACTGGGATTGGATTAGATCTTTTTATTTATTTTAGGGAAATTTAAGTCAAAATATTTACCTTACAGTTAAAAATCGATCTAAAAGTCAGATTACCAGTGATAATGCTACAACAAAAACCCCACGGATTATTGGATAAAATACGTAAAATATGTGAAATCTAATCTGTTAAATATTAAATATAGTTTAAAATCCTAACTGTGGATACTCATTTCAGCATGCATCTGTCTCTCAAATCCTTTATCATCAAATTTTTGCCGCAAATTACCTAACTTGTAAATGATAAGGATCTTAGGACTGAAGTTAATTAATATTTTAACCTCGGGAGATGAAACTGAGGAAATTAGTTTGCCTTTGTTTCTGATATCAGCTTTTAAATGTTATGACCTCAAACAAGTTGACGTCAATTCGACTAGCGATGAAAGACGTGCGCTTTTTGTGCCATTTGAACACTATAAGTACAAGAAAACGTGACTGATTTGAAGCAATAAAAAAAAAAACAGTGAAATATTCTTATATAATTTTTTTGCTTGACCTACACGCATTCATCAAAAATATAAGTAATCTTTTTCTTTTTTTTTTTTCACAAAACCCGAGTTAATAAAAATACAAATAAGCGTATGCACTTTGAAATAGGAATTTTTTGGCCATATTTCAAAAAGCGTATCGAGTTATAATTAACAACTGGTGAGAGATTTTTTGCCAAAAACCTCAAAATCCCTAGTTTGACTGCGGCAAAATTTATTTGCGAAAACGAAATATCTACTAATGACAAAAAATTCCACCTTTTTCTTGGTTGCACTTCAAACCTCTTCTGTTATTTTAAAACTCTTCTGTTACTTTCTATTTTACCCTTTTTACACGTTTTGTAAAAGTACGGAAAGCCATTTGCGTCCATGCAAAACGAAATATATAGAAATAATAATAAAAAAAGATTAAAACATTTTTGGGGTCGACATAATCTGGCCTCAAAAATGGGTTTATGATCAGTTTTTTCTTGATCAATAATTAATGTATAACAGAAGCATATGATATGCTTCTGATGTATAAATATCAGCGTGTTTCTTCGCTTGAGTACGAGTTGTAAATACTTGGATAATGTTCTGAAGTGCTATTATTTACAAAGAATCATCTTCAGAGGAAGTTTGTCGTTAGAAACGCTGAAAACCCAACTTGACGTGATAAGTGAATGTTTCACCTTTTGAGGCAATTAACAGGACTACTTTTGCGAAAATAGAACTAAAGATATGAATTACTCTAAAGGCATTGCTTTCAATTTTTGTAAACATTTTCCCCCTATTCCTCCGCTAATCCTGTTTTCCAGTCCAAGTTCTAACTTTCCAGTTACACGTGGCAAGACGAATGCGCTTGCGCCGTTCCTCGTTGAAACATGGCGGATGAAACGGGACGAAATTATGCTACTGGTTTAAATTTGCGTTTGATATGTTCAAGTTGAATTAATTTCGTTAGATTGACATCTACAATGATTTATAATCTTCAAATTTTATTCCTGGTTTTATTAAGCCTACCAAACGTCGCAAAATGTAAAACTGTTCGCGGTATTTTTAGCTCCAGACTTGCTCGTCTGTACCAAGGGCAGTATCTAACCAAGTTCTGTTTTTACGGTAAGTTCTAGTTTACTTGGCTGAATTTATCGGACAATAGATATTTTTTCCTTTGGCATAGCGGAAAATTGAGTCCTAATAGCAAGTAATAAAGAGTGTTTGGTGCGCAGACAAATCTTTGGAATGTTTGAAAACAGCTAGCGCCAGCTTTCGCTTTCTCCAAGTTACCTGTACCTCGAGTTTTAAACAGGACCTCTCTTGCCGGGGCGAACTGTTACATGTAAACTTGTTTGGTTGATTTGGTGGAAGTTTCTTGATTAACAGAGTCCCATTCAGTCCAGCTGTAATTGCACTTTAGAAATTATTTTCCTAGAGGAAGTGGTACTACTGTAATTGTATCGTGTTGAATAGCAACACTTCCGGTTGTTTCATATTCTGTTCCTCAAAGGCTAACTTTACAGCGTATAGAAAGAAAATAACGACAGAAACAATTTTATCCTTGGCTCTGTCAAGTTGTAGAAAAACTTGTGAAGGCTTGGGATCATTGTGGAAATCTCAAAGAGACGTTTTTCTCAGGTCTGTACTTCCTCCTTTTTCATTTGATCAGATCCTAAAAAGATCCAGCTGGAATATCATAAATTCTGGTCTGAACTAGGAGTCAATTCATGCTTTTTTACATGTAGTTTTAGGTGGTGCCTCCTATCTATGGGTTATTTCATCACAGGCTCAGAATGACATATGGTTCACAACAGCCATGCCAAACGTTTTTTTTTTTTTCTTCAGTCAAAGCACCTTGTACGCAACTGAGATTTGTTTCTTTGTTGAAAAATTCATTAGGTGAAGCACTAATTACTTTCAAGCTGAACACAACTTCAAGTGGGAAGCTTTACTTCTACCTTGACGAGAAATGGCCCCAGGTTGAAAAATCTTCACAATGCCAAAACAAGCTGGATATGGCACAATATTCATGTAAGTTATGAGTGTGAAGTGATTTGTTTTATGGCATAATTTTATGTTTTACTCTGAAGCATTTAACCTCTTACATCACACGATAATTTTTTTTTCGTCTATAGTAGTGACAGCAGTAGTCAAGGCACACTGACTTAGTGGTCAGTGTGATGGTCTCTGAAACTTTGTAACAAGTAGTCTGGGTGAAACTGTGGCCAGGGTTATTGCAATGCGTTCTTGCCAACTTGGCAATGCACTTTACTTTTCTCTTTCTACCATGGGGTATTAATAACAATTAACATGCAAACTAAGTGGCTGGGGTGGTAACCCTGAATATGTGACAGGCTAGTACACCCAATCCAGGGGGGTAATAGAAAATGCTCCTGATCATATATGTTAAGAACCAGCCAAATGTGCCACTCTTGCACAAACTTGCCAGTTGCTGAGGACTTCTTTGATTATTCTCCTTAGATTACTCAGGCTCTCAGAGCCATCTCCACCCCTAAGAGGGGAGGGGGGGGGGTTACTAGATACAAAGTTTTATACATAGAAGCTCTGCCCCGAGGTCCGATGGCCAACCCCTTCTTTTGTATACCCTCCACTATCTCCAAGGGGTAGAAAGGGGATTATTTACTATTAAATAAACCTTTTTGACTTAGTGACTGACTATTTTTAACACAATAACTATTCCCTTTCAGTTGGACTAGACTCGGTGTCTGGAGAGAACAAATTTTCCCCCTGGGATGACCCCAAGGTCTGGCATGTCTTGTACGCTGATTCTGTGACTTGCGACCCTAGTGTGCCAGCTCTTGACGATGTTACTTTCGCCTTGGAAATGCTTAATCCTGATTCTGGAGGAAAACCATCTAGTCATTGTGGTTGTGATGAGACAGGTTAGCCTTAATTTTGCGGGTTATTTAAAAACAGAAGTCTAGTACATGTTTATTATCAAGATCACGAGGTGGTGTAGGGCAGTTCCATTAAGTATTTATTAATTTAGTAATAGCAGCTTGAAAAGATAGATTCTTGTTAATTTCCCAGGGTTGCTGTCATTTTATGAAGTGCTGGCATTCCTGTATTTTGCTGGAGCAATAGCTTATGGTCAGCGTCTGTGGCAAACGATCCAGAAAGGTGGACCCATGCACCTGGTATGCTTAATATCAACTCTCCTTTCTGGTGTCTATGTATTTTTTTTATGTTAGTTGTGAGAATTTAATGATACATCAGGACTAAATTCCTTAGATGATGATTTTTGTTATTCTCATCACCTGTCTGCTTGACTTTATATTGATACTGTAAGGAGAAATTGGATTTTGATCAAGCTTCATTTTAAGATATTTACATTTTTAATTCATCAGGTAAAATCTATCATGTCTTCACATAAGCATCATTGCAATCGGCTGAGGGAATTTTTGCTGATTTTACATAATGTGTACATGCACTTTATTGAGCATCTCTGAAAAGGGTTTTTCAGCATCGAGATTGAAATACAGAAAATCAAATCACAATAAATAAATAACAGAGATATCTAGAAACATTACATGACGTTATTATCTATCATTCATATCTCACTAGCTGTATTAGGAACACAGAAGTAAAATTATGAAATGTCTTGATTTTTAGTGAGTGTGGTATAGTAGTAAACGGCAGTGATACAATACACAGCCCAAAATACTAAATGAACCAGAGAAAGGTGCCTTTAAATGTTTTTATTCTTTCTCTTTATTTCAGGTGATAAAAATGTTGTCTATTGCTATGATTTACCAGGCTACAGGGCATTTTCTTACTTTAATTCATCTCTACAGGTAATTGAATCCTTCTCAGCCTTTTTAGAGAAGTTTCAAAACATCTTCCATGCTTTCTATTGACTTGTTGCAACATAAGTGGAAGTTTGGGAGAATGAGAAATGCTGTGTGGAACAAATCAAAATGAAACAATCTTAGTTAGAGGAATTGTTGTTTTGAAGGAAGAAAAACATCAGATGTAAGATAATTAAACAATTAACAGCAACAACTTACAACACCAGCATTTAATTATGTTTGGTTTACAAAATACTATAATAATTTATAGTGTAATAAAGGAATGCATTGTATCTCAGGTGAAATGTGTTAGTTTACGTGCATTGTCTATGAAAATGATGGAGATGTAACCACAGAGTGTATTTGATTTTTCTCATTTTTCATCTTTGACAAAACTCAGATATTCAAAGGATGGCGAAGGTTACCCTTTTCTCAGCAAGCTGTCTATAGGTAAACATTAAATAAAACAAGTTTAATTGAAACTTGTTTATCTTTTTACTCGTGGCTTGCTTGTGATTATAATGTAACTACCATAAATTTTGCAATGTTCATTTTGGGAATTTTGGAATTTACTACCGTAGTAATTTTTCTTAGGTCTCTTGGCATCGTAATCCCAAAAGGGCCTCTTTTGGTTGTTTCTGTAAACAAGTCTGTTTTTGTGAGGTTGGACAACAGGCCAAATGATTTTTTTGTTCCTGTGATAACTATTGATGCCTTCTATAGGCTTCTTACTTACTGTGTGTGTTTATTTAATTTAAAGTCATCTTCTTTGTTGTGTTTGATTTTACAGCTGCAGATGGCCTAGGTGGCTATCAGATGTTACTTATGATGGCCAAGTTGTCCACAGGATGGACTCTTAGTTCCTCATTCTCAACACTGGATCCAAAACAGATGAAACAAATTAGCATTGGCGTGATTGCAATTTCAGTTTTTGAGGTGCAGTTTTGTATGTTTACAAATAGGAAGAAGTTGAGTGCACTAGTGAAAAAAAATTGATCATCTACATGTAATCCAATCAGACTTGATCAGAAACACACTCTGTAAGATTTTTATTCATTGTGGGGTTCCAGGCAATTTCCACACTTGCACGAAGAATGGTTATTTGGTTTGTACCCCTCCCCCTTTCCCCCATGGAATTTCTAGTACCTTCCCTTTAAAAATTTGGCTATTTAATCACCCCAACCCCCCTGGAATTTCCAATGGCTATCCTTGACCAGTGTGGCTATGGATATTTTATGGACCTGCACATTCTAAAATAGGAAAAGACTGCAAATGAAAATGTAGCGAGTCCCCAGGGACCAAAAGTTTTAAGATTCATTTAATCCACAGTCATACCGTATTCTATGATTCAGTTTATCTTGGTCATTAGTAGAGCAGAACAATAATGAAATGTAAAATACTGACATGGTGCAAATTCTAAACTGTTTGCTGGTATTTCCAGGTTATATTAGCCTCTTGGGAGATGACTCTTCTTCTAGTCCTTGTTAAAATTGTTGTAGCTGGAGCATTTGCTGTAAATATAAGTAGAAAAGTTTCAGAGGAGAGAAGTACACTCCGTAGAGAATTTTATATTAAATTTGCAAAGGTGAGTGTTGATCCATTTTTTTTATGCCATACAAGGTGGTTTAAACTTTTATGTCATGAACCTTGGGCTTGTGTTTGACCATTCAGATCCATTCACCATTCAGATTGTAAACATTATTTAATCAAATTGGGCAGTCCTTATTTGTGGTATTGTTAATTATGCTGTGCAAATTTGTTCTAACTCATGAAACTCTAGTGTGTGATCATTCAAATGAAAGCTACTGAGCAGTTTTTTCAAGTGGTATTGTTTTTTTGTTGTTATTGTTGTACAAGGGCTGGTTGTAACTTTCAAGTCTTTGGGTGAAACCTGTTTCAAATGAAAGCTATTGAGCAGTACTTTCATGTGGTACTTTTTATTATGTTGTACAAAGTGGTTCTAACTTCTAAGTCTGTGGATGAAACCCTAGTGTGTGACCATTCAAATGAAAGCTATTGAGCAGTACTTTCATGTCATACTGGTTATTGTGTTGTACACTGTACGACATGGAAGTTCTAACTTTTAATGGCGGTTGTCTTTCATGGAGTGACAGTTTGACTTTTGTGTATTTTTCCAGTGTTGTTTAACCTGGCTTTTAGCATATCCTGCCTTAGCAATAGTGTCATTGGTTTTACCTGTCCACTCTAGATTTAAGGTAAGTAATATGGAACAGTTAAAGGAAAACCCATATATTTACCCCAATATAACAAAGTACAGCCAAAGGGACTCAAAAAATATGTTCATGGTAATGGAAGTATAGCAGAAGCTAATCACTGTCATAATGAATTTGCATTAAAAGTATGACACAAGGACCACAAGGCAGTGTGTGCAGGCCATGATAAGACTGGATTGATCACCAAGGACTGTACTAATGTTGTGAATGATGTACACCTTGAAATAAAAAAAATCCTTATTCATTTTGCCCAGTTTTTCTACAGTTCATGTTTTCTTTATTGCACAATGTTTCACGCTGCAAGTAACTGAATGCCTGATAGAGGCTCTTTCTCTGGAGTTTTGATATTCCACACTTACATTTAGGAATGACATGTCTCTTTGAAAAATATCTACTAGCCTACATTTAGCACTCTGATTACTGATTTGTTAATACTGCTATTTGAGAGTTCACATTATATGCCAAATACTTCTTACTAGATAAGCAATTAAACTCTTTTCTGCTAGCTAATGTAAGTATTAAATTTTGAACCGCTACTTAAATGTATTTCTGTTCAATTCAGGTAATAACATGGGGCTTGTTGACAGCTCAGTGCATATCAATCCTGTTATTATACAGACTGTTCTTATCACGGAGTCTGTACTGGGAGGTATCTTCCCTGGCAACTAGCACGCTTCCTCTACGACTGGACAGAGGCTATGGAGCCAAGACCTACAACTCTGAAACTAGGACTGTTAGAATACATAAACATATTGCAGTGAATTAGGCCAATTCTGCTCAAAGATTATTTTTCTGTTTGTGGTTCTGGATGTTCAGATTGCCTCTGTAACTTCAGACAATATTCTCCAAGGAAGGAAGTGCTTGTGGGGGAATCTTTCCTATCAAATCCTTCAGTATAATTACAAATTCAGCTTTCAGAGTGGACACTTTTGGGACCAGCCGCTGCACTGTCCAATTGAACCTAAGCGATATCTGTCGGAGAGAATCTGTGTTTGTTAGTGGTCTGCCCTTGATGCCGCGAAGTTACAAAAAAAACCGAATAACCACCCTGCACGGGTAATCGTAGTTTTGAAGCTTCTTTCCATCACCTCTTCCGAAGGGTTGCAAATGTTGCAGGGTTGCTACGTTTGGGCGTCTATTATGTATACCATATGTGGATTGATCCATATCATAGCATATAAATGTTTTGAATAAAACTTCTCGAAAGTAATCAGTCTTTTCCTTTAATGTTGATGTGATATATCAAATACGAAAAACCGTGTTTGACCACATTTCCAAACACCGAGAAGCGAGTTGAAAATACGACGCACAGCGGAGTATTTTTGACGAACTTCGAGGGGCTTGGAAATGTGGTCAAACACTGTCTTGAATGTTTGATACATCCTCTTAATCGAAGCAAAAAATAAGTCAAACGTTTTGGGTAGAGGGGTTTTCGTTACTTTCGGAACTCTTCGCTAGTGATCCTCCTTAGTGATGTATCTGGTATATTTTGGAAACGTAATTAGCATAAGTTTTATTTAAAGATGCATTGAAGTGGGAACACCCTACAAACGGAGAAACCTTTCAATCCCTTCTGTTATCTAGTCGCAAAAGATTTTTCAAATTAAACTGCGCGAAGTTGCTTAACATTTCCTTTGAGATGTGATTCACGACGTCAAAGTTCGCGAATAAAAGCGTGAAAAGAAACGCAAACATTTGATTTCGTGAAACATTCACGTAGTTGTGTCAAGATTTCCGGCAGCCAGCTACCCTGCGAGAGGGGGTGCTTTACATTATGCCAAAAATTTCCGGTAATTTCGGTCAAAAGTCAAATGGAAAGGTCCGTTTCGGTTCTGTCCAATCGGAATTTTCGGGGCCACCTCTGGAGGTGGTCCACTTTGATCGGTCAGACCGATTGGACCGAAGTTTGCCGTTCTATTTTGACAAACCGGTTTATTGCCCTGTTTGTCTTCAGTAGATTTCAGTGAATTCGGGAAAGGATTTAAAAATGGTAAGAGTCATTCCTCTCGGTTGGCCCGGTTCGGATCGGAAAATGTCGTTCCATTTTCCTCGGTTAGTCCTGCTGGCCGTCTGACCGATCGCTCTGGCATAAAGGAAAGCATCCAGAGATTTCTTTTTCTTTCTGCTTCAAATGTTCGTCTCGCAGGGTAGCTGAGCCGGGAATTGTTTCCAAAAAACTAGATACCCGGCAGTGAAATTCTAATAGGATTTCCACTAAACATCTCTTGGAATAGAGCTTTCTTTAGAAATGTCAAGAGATTTCAAGTAGTTGTGTCGAGTTGTGGAATTTTTCGAGCTTGGCCTTACTATAGGATCTCGATGTTCTCGACATTTTGCAAATATTCGCACTCTGGCTCACGGAGTCAACTCTCATAGAATGATATCCACAAAAATTACAACAGGCCATTTTCGAGTTACCTTGTGCCTCTGTTTCAAAACCGAGCCCTCGCGCAAATCTTTTCATATGAAAATGAGTTTGATTTAACCTGTAGGGGGAACACATTTTCATATGAATGGTTTTGCACACGGACTCGTTTCGACACAGACGCAAAAGGCAACGAGCTAGAGTGTTCGAGATTTGTTCAGAAATGCCAAACGATTCTAAATATTGTTTTGCTTTTGTACTGGATGGAGGTTTTCGTTTTATTATTGACTAATTGATTGACTGATTTATTCATTTAATTAAATATTGATTTTTGACGTTAATTAGTTTTTAGCTAGGACTAAAAGATCCAAATCAGTTGTAAAAGTTCCCAAGTTTATTGACCTACTTTATTAAGTAAATGTATTGTTAAGGACGTTCGCGCTAATAGTTTCTGCGCATCCTTACCGCGCACGCAAATTCACACGCCACGTTAAGCATCGAGCGTTGGCGCTAAGTACTAAAATAAACAATCATAGGGCAGATGGCCATAGGCCCTTTGCAGCTGGGGTCATGTGACCAAATTTTTCCTAGAAAATTTTCCTATTATGGGCTATAACTTGAAGAATGCCAGAAATTAAAAAAGAGCGGATCGAAAATACTAAAATGGCCAAGTTTGAGGCCCCTGGCATTAAAGAGTAAGTTTATACGACCGTTTGAATTTTCGGAAAATTTAGAGGATTTGTATGGAAAATGTTACTGGAGAGCAAGACCTTGCTCTCCAACAACTTTTTCCATACAAATCTTCTTATTCTTTTAAAAATTCAGACTGTCGTAAAATCTCATTCTTTAATGATGGGGGCCTCAAACTTGGCCATTTTGATATTTTCGACATGCTTTTTCCATTTCTGGCATTCGTTAAGTTATAGCCCATAATTTTATGAAAAATAGGTCACGTGATGGCTTTGCTGCAAAGGGCTTATTTCTATAGCTTTGCTTGGATGTAACGATCTTGGCCGTTCGGTGACCTCTACTTTTCTTTCCAGAAACAGATTTTATTTACAGTTATCTCCACATGTCCAAAAATAAACAAAAAGTCAATGTGGGAAGTAAACAAAGTTTCAAGATTTCTGTCCACGGGACATCGAATCCTGCAATCTTGCAGCTGCAAGGCGCATGAAACTATGGTCGCTAAATGCGAACTTGGTCTTAAAGTAACCTTACTAGTTGACTAAATTCACTTAACAGGTCCACTTAAACAATATTTGGCAGAGAACATTTCACTTTAATGTACTAGTTACAATATTTTTGGGCTTACAGACACTGTGGCCGTATTCAATAACGAAGTCCTATTTTTTCAGATTTAGGGTGTTCTTCCGGGCATGTTCTCTCCAAAACAAAGTCGGTGACTCCCCATTTTTTTTTACATTTCTGACATAATTCACTCGTCATCCTACAGTGGTAAAAGTCTCAGAAGAAAAATCGATGTTGAAATGTTTTCGCGCGAACGTCTTTAAGGTGGCTCCCTATAGTTTACGATCGCACGCGCGCTGAGGACGAAGGTTCAAGTAATCTGTGCGCGCTCGAAGGAAAACGTCAGTGTTTTTCGATATTTTATGACGTCAACATGAGCACAAAAAGCAAAACTGACAGTGAAGTTTTTCGCGTTTCCTTCGGTGAAATTTCGTAAAATTCGGTAGTACATATCTTACTTTAGTCGGAGCTCATTTTTGAAGGAAATCTATAAGACCAGTTTTCTGGCTGGGGTAAAAGACGTAAATTTGCAAAAATCGAAAAACCTGCCTTAACAAACCCTACTTCTTTCGTGTTTAAAATTCGTATCCCGCAGGATGCGATGTATGCTGTGAAAATTTTGGAAGATTTCAGCGAAGAAATTTCAAGGAAATCACAAATAAAGCCATAAAAAAAGCAAAAAAACACATTCGTTTGGGCTTTTATAATTTAAGACTAAAACCCATAATTTTAACAGAGATGATAGTAAAATACTATTTAATGCAATAAGTTTGAAACGACTGGGTGTAAAAACGAATGGAAAAACGGCATTCAAAACATAACACGTGCGCGCGCAATGCCATAAATGATTACCCTATGAAGCCACCTTAAGTGGCTGGCCATCTTGAATATTTTAGTAGAACGAAATCTGAGGAGAGGGCGAGAAGTTTTTTCCTTCCCTCAGATTTCGTTCCCACAAGTATTCAAGATGGCCAGCTACAAACAGTCTAGTTTTCGGTTTTGGTCATTTTTAAGATCAGTTTTTCAGTTTTGCACTTACGATATCCGGTTTTTCGGTTGTGGTATCTGTTGCAGTTTTCCTTTCTTAGCATTTCGAAGATAAGAAAAGTTGATAACTCACTTGCCTACTTCCAAGGGCTTCTGTATTCGCTTGAAGATTAGAATCATCTTCTAAAAAGTGAAAGAGAATGAGATTTTTGCCTGGAAACAGCCATCTAACTGCCGTTTCTTTGGAAAATCTAGGGTTAAAACAGGTTAAAGGAAAGGCAAAACTTTCAACTGAAGATGGTCTCGATCCCTCAAAAATAGAAACGCACACATCTTTTGTTTCTGTATTCAAGTTTATGAGTTTGCAGTTTTAATCATCATGTTCGGCAGTTTTTCGGATTTGGACGATTTTTCGGTTTTCAAGATATTTTGAGCGGTCTTCCGGTTTCTAGTAGGTCCCATTACCCTCCTCCTAGTTTTTTTTTTTCCTGCCTCTCTGTGGAAAACAAAAGAAAACGCGCGCCTGATTCCCACACCACTCTTGGACTCAAGTAAGAATCAGAATGACTTCGCGAAGTGACCAGTTCTGTAACAACATAAAATTGTATCATAAGAAAAGCGAAGAAGATCAGTTTTATGATTTTGTAATCAAAGACACGGATGGCGCAGAAATCAGATCTCACAAGTTCATTCTTGCCTCCCAAAGTGAGTACTTCGCCGCATTGTTTCGCACAAATCCAAATGCCAGCGAAACGACTTTCAAAGATTTCTCCATC